GGACCTAATACACTGCGTGATATCCTGCAAGTTTGCTACTGACATATGGGCGCGAGCCTCGGCACTCTGGGACTACCTTTTTCCTTCTCCCCTACCTGAACATCCGATCCAACCACTCCTGTGGACTAACATCCCTTCCCAATTCTCTAAGTTTGAACGCATCTGGTTTGGAATAATCAGGAAGGTGACTCTCTGGGTCATCTGGAAAGAGAGGTGTAACAGAACTATCGACAAGTCTAGCAATCAGGCGGAGCAAGTCTGGGCATCAACAAGACTCTTTATGGAAACTGATATCCGGTGCCAATGAAAGAAGGTCAAACTCCAAATTCAGCAGAATCTGGAGGAGCAACGAGAAACGATATCCAAGTTAAGGAGGGTGTGGCTCGTGAACGGGAAGATAGCGGATATTGATGCTCTGCAAATCCGATGGAAAAAATGGCACAACTCAGAAACTCCCAAAGAACACGAGCTTCTTTATAGGCTGGACAACAGGACTACAGGGATATATGAGTCTTCCGTGTCAATTCTATGAGATAGGTTCTCTGGTTTTCTTGCATTACTCGCATATCTGACAGGCCCCTATAGAGGAGCTTGAGAGGAAGTTCAGGGAAAGGCCAGCTGACAGTCAATCCTCCAGATCTGTGGAGCAATCAATGCTGTTCAGGGACCCTTCGGCCAGACGGAAGGGAGCGTGCATGTGTATATTGATGTAACTCGCTTCATATGACTTGCCGGGGGAATAGGAACCGGACTGATGCTCCCCAGAATGGATATGGAGCCAGGCCCATAAGGACCTTTCTTTTTGGGGGACAAAAAAAAAAAAAAGATTTCCAACCATGGTAACCGCCCGGACGTCCGGACCGGGTTCCAGACAGTCCGGTGTCCGGTGTCCGGTGTCCGGTCCCCATGTCTGGATGGAGGCCCCTGGGGCAAAAATAAAAATAAAAAAAGGGGTGGCCCAGGACGTTTGTCGGGTCCTAGCCGCCCCTCGAAAAATAATGGGGTGATTTTTAAGTGCCCTTTCATCCCACCGGACATGGCCTAGAGCTCCAAACACAAGACACTGCAGGTTTTTGAGGTGGCGGGGTTCGCACAGGCCCGAGCAATTTCAAAGCAGCCGTTTCGACGTGGCGCCCGCCGCTGCTGCCCGTTGGGGAGAGAGAGAGAGAGAGAGAGAGAGAGA